TATATATATATATATATATATACATTTGAGTCACTGCTTCTCCAGCTCTTTTGTCATTCACACAACCTTTACAGGCTTTTGTTGCCCAAAGTGAGTTTGGGTGATGTTTTCAAGACCGAATCACCAGTGAGTTTGACAAACTGAGGTTCTGTCCTTAGAAAAACAAACTTTGACTTATTTATTTAACACGTGAATACAATGCTTTCACCTACAATTAAACATCTGAAAGATAACTGTAACAGTGACTCATTGTTATGGTGTTAAAATTAAAAACATTTTGTTTTATTCACAACAGAAACTGGAACCTGCTGTCTTTAGATTACAAACCCAAGAAATCTTTGACTGAACTACAACCCTTTGTCACAAGTCTGAGTTGACCTGGTCCTTTTAATAACGCAGCAGCCAATAGAAAACGCGCTCGCGGTGTTTTAAACCAGCTCGTACCATTATTGACATAGGGGTGTTAATTCAACTTGTTTGGGATTATATTTCGTAGTTTGCTCTTTAAACATGGGTTCTAAACAAATTTAATTTAAAACTTAATTAGAATTATTAATTTTTTATAAGAATTTGTAACAATAAATTCAATTATATAAAAACATTTAAAACACTACTTTCTAATTCCACCCCCCTCTTGTCTTTGACTTAAGATCTCCCGATGTCAAAGTTGACCGGCTCGGCTATCATGTCTTTGTTGCTTCTGTAGCATCGCAAATCTTGTGAGTCCAAGTGTAGAATAGATGGAAGAACTGCATTTATCGTCTTAGAAGAAACTGATTAAACCGTATCTATAAAAGTTGTGATGATCTTCAAGAACTGAGTGAAATTGTTCAGAGTTGTTTGGGTGGGGGAAATCGCAGTAAAGGTAAACCATTCCGCCGTGCTAAGTTAGCTGTTAGCTAACATACATTAGCTGTGTTTGTGGCTTTTTAACAGGGCTGTTCATCCTGTCGCTACGAATGTGATTTATCTGCTTTTAATTTGACACAAACATTAATTGTTTATTGGAAACAGGGTTTATCTAAACAGTTTAATGAAACTGGTTGTTTCTGTTAGCTTTAAAGCGGATTGTTAGCTTGAAAGAGAAATGATAAATTCAGCTGGTGCATGACAACAATGAACACATTGTCTTTGTCGACGTTGTATAGTCGTGTAACTTTATATTTAAACGTGTCATTACCATTTAAATGTCAATCATTATGTTCTGGTTTATGTTTTCCTTTTCCACCTTTTTTTCAAAGCGTTTGCACATGCATTCACTTTCATAATCTAGCATAGATTTCTATGTTTTAATCTTCTGTTCAACAACCAGCTTTGTTTGCTCAACATGCATGTTGGTTTTATTGAAGTAAAACCTGCCAAAAGATGGAAGAAAAACTGAATGGATCACTGCCTGTTGTCTCCCCGGAGTATCTTCATCAGTGGTGAGTCTTCCTCCTCACCACAGTGGCCAGAATGCAATCTGACACGTCTCAAAATGGAAATGAAAGCATGTGCTCCTACTTGTACTTTTGTCTTTATTTTTCCACCATCATGTTCTCAAATGTGAAGCAAAACTGACAACAAAGCTGCTGATGTGCAGTTTATTCTGTTTGCTCTGTATTATGCTGTGGATCAGACAAATCAAAACAAAGTGTGTCCAGTTTGTCTCAATAATAATAATAATAATAATAATAATAATGTTATTATTCTAAAGTTCTCAGTACTTTGAGATCTTGTTTAAGCTAGCAGTGTCAAGTACAAAATGCTCCTAACTATTCTTGATACATGCACAATACTCCAAACAAAACATAATATGAGGGAGACTTCTTGCATGAGGTCGTACATAGTGTTATTTTTGAGGTTTGAACAAAATTGATCTTATATTGTGTAAAGCTGTGAGTTTTTTTTATGTGCTAAAGAAATAAAACTTTGATTTAACTTGATATAAGATGCAACAAACACAGTGTTATTGTGGAAATACTGAAGAAAATCAAGGTGTGTTTAAAACTGTATCAGTTGCACGTCTGGTGTTGTGATGACTAACAAGTGTTTTTTTTTTTATGTGTTTATTCACAGAAATGGGCTCTGCAGGCCAGTCGGCAGATAATATGACAGAACAGCTGCAGCTGGAGTTGTTTGCTTAATTAATGACCCCAAAATCATCCGAACTGCTGTTTTAACAAGAATACAGTGAAGGAATGAAAGAAGAGGAGCTGTGTCGTTTCTGAGCTGCTGCTGGAAGAACAACAACAACACGTTTTTAACACTTAGAAATGTGTATTTTATTTTATTTTATTTTATTACTATTTAATATTTATTGGTTTTTTTTGTATGTTTCCAGTAAATGGTTTTGTATCTTGATAAAAATGTGTTTCATGATTAATATTATGTATGAAAAAAATCTTGTCCCTCATTTTAGTCTGTTTTTATTAAATTGATTTTAACACTGTCATCCTATTTGTCAGTTTAAATGCATCAAGTTGTTTTATGAAGTCTAATATGTAAAATAATAATAATAATAATATTAAAAGTATACAGAAAATATGTTTAAAGTATCTTCTGTCATATTTTTAAAGGTGAAACAAGGTTTTGACCACTTTGATCTTCTTTAGGAGTTAGTTAATTTCAATATAAATTTAAAAAATCTAGTTTGACAAAACAAAATCGTAATGACACAATTCTGAGAGCCTTGTTTGTTTTATACTTTAGGCGAATACNTAATAATTTTATTGTCTGCCACTGAAGGTGAAAGGGCAGTTATGATTGTAACTGAGTTTGGATGTGTTTGCTTGTCTGTTGTGTTAGCAAAATATTCAATGAACCATAATATGGATTTCAATTAAACTCTAATAATGTAATTACTGGTTGAATGTTTCCAACCGATTAACTGGAGATATCCTAAATCAAGGTGACCACTATATCTAATGGACGTTAGCAAGCACATAAAACTGTAGTTCGTTCAGTTTCTCTGATGTTGATGTAACATTGAGTGTGGTAGTAGCCAAGAGTCCTAACTTATCTCCCGAGATCAGATATGAGATCGCACATTATCTGTAGTGTATTTTGTATTTGTTTTTTTATGTATGTATTTAATGTTAAGGTAGTTCCAGAGAGGCTTTATTTTAATTCTTGCATCTTTTTATTAATGCATATTCAATTTAAAAGCTAAACTAACAGTTTTTTAATGAATGATTCATCCATCACCTTGGAGTAAAATACTGAAGTTAGTTCAAACTCAAAGTTTTATATGGGACATTGTCCACTGATTAAACTCCGCTTAAATCTCACAGCACATCCTGCCGTCATTTTGCTCATGTTGTTAGTAATTAATTCTTTTATTTAATTTTTATTATTCCTGCTCAACCACAGGGTTCGCTCGGCCCAGCAATTTCAAGCCCTCCAGGCTCAATACGCCAACTTTGACCCCAAACATCAGTTTCACTACCCAGAGAATCACACTGGAGAGGCAGCTGAGGCGCACATGGCAAACTCAGAACCCACGATGGAGCAGATGGAACCGGCCAACCTGACTAAACGTATTGTGATGCTTTTTGAATAAACTATTATTTGTTCTGAATTTGACTTGGTGTGAACAGAGTGTATCAACTGGAATGAAATATTATATAAAAATGATTTTATTTTTCTACTAAGTACAGTTTTAGAGAACCTATCTGTGTTAGTTATGACCTTATTAATGTTTGACTTATTGAAATTCTTATAGAGCATCTTTTTTAGTTTGTATGGACTCTTTGTTACCAAATTAATTATTAAAGAAGTATACGATTTTAGGGGATTATTAGATTTCTAAAAAAAATTTTTTTTATACGTCCTTTCACTTTTCTTCCAGCCCCAGCTAAAAAGAGAGGCAGACCAGCACAACCCAAGGAACCAGGTGCACCCAAACCACCAAAAGTTGCCAAGGCTCCAAAAACAAAAGCACCCAAGGACCCCAATGCGCCAAAAGCCAAACCAGGTCCAAAGCCTAAAAAGGCAGCCGAAGCTCCGGCTGATGGAAAACAGGAGAAGATAGACGAGAGCTTCAAGAAGGTGAAAAGGAAAGTGGACCGCTTCAAAGGGATGTCAGAGGAAGAAGTCATGACAAAGACTTTACCAGACCTGTTGGATTACAACCTGGATTATGTCATTGTAAGACTGGCCTTGTAGGAGATGATGCATGTCAGTGGGATTTTGTTTGGTTTTGGGATCTTAACAGCTTGTGTCTATTTTCAGATTGGTATCAATCCGGGACTGATGGCAGCTTTTATCGGTCGCTGGTTTCCAGGTCCAGGAAATCATTTCTGTAAGTTCTGATCCTTGAATGGTTTACATTTGTTTGATATTAAAACAGTGATTTTTGTTCATGTCAAAGTCAAGAAAAGGCGTGCGTGCAGTGTAAAACCAAGTGTTTTTGTTATTCAGCTATAAACATGAAACAGACTTGTTGTTTGAAGGCAGAAACTGATGACGTTGAGCTGTTTGACCCGTATAAATGATCAAAGGAGAACAGCAGCAGCTTAGCAAATCTGTGTGTAAAAGAAAGAGTTCAGATTTTAAGTGAGGTTCTATGGAGAAGTTATGAACAATTACTGTCTTACCTGTTGTAGGTAGCTTTTTGAACAACTTCAGGTTGGTGTCTCATCCTCCCAGTTTGTAGAAAAAGTTTCATTTTGACTGAACTGAAAATCTAACAACTATTCTGAGCAGGGCCAAGACCAAAGTAGACGTCCGCTATCTTAACACAACTCTTAACTGAAAAAAAAAAATCACATCAGTTTGAATTTTTCTTTGTTTTGCATAACACCATTATTTACGTAGACTTTGAGATGTTCTGCTCAAAGAAGAAAACTCAACACAGCATCGACTTTTCATGGCGAGATGTTTCAGTGCCTCGCTGTAACGTTTTTTCTTTTCTTTTTTTTAATATTTCTCTTTTTGTTGTGCTTCTCTATAAATATATATCCTTTTCCCTTTTTTTCCTTTTTTTTGTTCTCATACTGTTTTTCTTAGACCTTGTAATGTAATGCTTTTTCTTTCATAACTGTTCTATCATCTATACTGTTGACTAGGAGACAGGCCCGCCAAGAATTCCAATGTGTGTAAACTGCTAGTACATATGCACAAATGGCAAATAAAGACCGACCGACCTACCTTGCTTGCCTGCCTGCCTGCCCTGGTTTTAGATGTGCAAACTTTAAACCAGTTCAAAATATTTAGTCCCTGTATTAGGGTTAGGGCCTGTATGGTTCTAACAGCTTATATGGTTTTACATGTTCTGATGGTTTGTAATCTAAAGCAGGGGTTCTCAAACTGGGGTCCATGAGCCGTATCTTGGGGGTCCTCAAAAATTTCAATAAATTGTTAATTTGGTTTTTATTTAAAAAAAAAAAAGGCAAATGAGGAATAATGCACTAGTAAAACAAACATACTAAACCAAGCAAAAAATAATATTACCATGGCATTTAGGGGTTAAAATAGCAGTAAATTAATTTTGCATTAACAGCATGAGGGCGTCCCTGAAATTGTTTTACCCTTGTAAGGGGTCCACAGACTCAAAAAGTTTGAGAACCCTTGATCTAAAGGTTGGTAGCACTGGTACAGTAACTGTTTACATGAACACGAGTAATCAGATTTGACGGCCAGTCGTAATAAAAATGCATCATGTAAACGCCTCAGTCTGAATATTCTGACCTGATTCAGCTCGATCCAAAAGAATTTGTAATCCGAATGAGAGGACCTGTGACTTTCATCCAGCGCTACAGCTGCTGGCAGCATGGAACTTTCAGGATGTCTCTCATCCGGTAAAGAAGAAAGACAAACAGCAAACATTGCTTCGCCTGTCGCTCGCTCAGGGAGTTCATTAGCATCTCTGCCGTTATTTAAACCTGGCTCGGGTCCATACTGCGCGCTCAGAAGACACATTTATGTTCATCACGGAAGTAGAACTTTGAACCTAACAAAGCAGAATAACCTGTAAAGCCTTTTTGATTACAGGGAAATGCCTGTATCTGTCTGGATTCACAGAGGAGCAGCTCAACCACATGCATGACACAACGCTGCCTGTCAAATACAAAATGGGCTTCACCAACATGGTGTCGAGAACAACACCGGGGAGCAAAGACCTCTCAAGGTGGGCATGTAGACTGCAGAGACACTAGAAAAAAGTGCTTTAATTCTGACTATAAATGAATCGATTATAATTCTGTTTAATTTGCTTTCATCTCCAGTAAGGAGTTACGTGAAGGAGGCAAAATTCTCGTGGAGAAGCTGAAGCAATATAAACCACTTATTGCTGTGTTCAATGGAAAATGTAAAGATTTTTTTTTCTCACAAGTGCAACAGTTGTAATAAAAATGTGTGATTTATTGAGTTAAAGTAGTTTCCCCCCTTTTCCAGGTATATATGAGATGTTCTGCAGAGAGCTGTTTGGCAAAAAACCACAAAAACTTGAATTTGGTTTGCAGCCGCACAAGATCCCTGACTGTGACGTGGTGAGAACTGAAAAAAATATCAGTTTTTTTCTTAAATCAGATTTTTTTTAAAGTGGACACTGAGTCCTGATGTTATCTGTTATATTTGATGAAACAGATAACTTTACACATATGACACCACAGTAATAAAATAGTGTGACTATGTGCTCTAATGGTCAATTATCATTTCTCTCAGGACTGAAAGTGTTTAAAGTAACACCAAATTGAATGTGCAAGATCTTGTTCCAAAAACTGATTAATTAAAAGATGTTATGATAATCAAAGCTATCATTACCTTTTGTTTCTGACTTATGTCAACTTATGAGCAACTTAATGCAACATGTGAGAACTTGTGCATAACTTACCCATCACATAACGTTAACTTTATCTTTAACTATTAGGGTGTTGGTAAATTGTTCAAAACTTACACTCAACGTTTGTGACTAACACCAGCGTGTTCGCCATTCCTTTGGGTCTTTTATGTATAGTGTTGTTCTTATTAGTTTAGAGCAGGGGTCTGCAACCTTTACAATCAAAAGAGCCCTTTCTGCTCCTCGGCTCGCTAATAAAATGTGCCCAGAGCCGCAAGATAAGCTAGAACTGTGATTATCAACTGGTGGTCCGTGGGCCTTTTCAAGGCCTTTTCATGAACCTTTATGGCCAGTGGAGGTGATATAAACCTAAAAAAATACATTGTGAATTTTATTATGTATTATTATTTTTACACTTCAAGACTGAAAAACAAAAACATTCATGCACAAGAACAATACTGACTATAGTTTATACAGAATTTCATAAAAACTAGTACAGCTGAACTAGTCAGACATGTTTTTCCTAATTCTTATTATGTAGTCCTAAAGGTGTTTAAAGATAACCCTGATGGATTTGAGAGAGATTATAGAAAGAAGTTGGATTATTTAGGTAGAAAACAGGCTAGCATGAGCTAGCATATTTTACTTTTTGTATTAGTATTTTTGTATTAGTAGTATTGATCACATATTTGCATAAAACATATTAGTGTTGTGAGTATAAAAACCAATATATCTGTTGTGTTTGGTCACATTTTCAAAGAGCCTCTGCTTAGGGACCAAAGAGCCACATGTGGCCCCAGAGCCGCAGGTTGCAGACCCCTGGTTTAGAGAAACAACAAATTCAAACTTGTGAACCCAGTCTACTCCTGATATATTTTCTTTAAAATATAAAACATTTTACAGCTTAGGGAGGTAGAACATTTAGCATATTTTATTTCAAGAAGTGACTTTTGTCCCCTATAGGCTCTGTATCTGATGCCTTCATCCAGCGCCCGCTGTGCTCAGTTTCCTCGCGCTCAGGACAAAGTCCACTTCTACATTAAACTGAGGGAGCTCAGAGATCAGCTGAAGGGCGTTCAAAGAAGCACTGAGATCGAGGAGGTGGACTACTCGTTTGACCTTAAGTTAGCTAAAGGTAAGCAGGATCTTCGCTGAGGAGCAGCTGGATTGATGCATGAAGTGCTCACTTTAAACCACCACTCAGTGCAAAGTTTTCTGGAAATTCAATCAGCACAGTTTTATATTAAGTGTGGTTTGTGAGATTGTGTTGAACATTTCCTTAATTCTTGCTGTTCCAAACCAACAGAGGATGCCAAGAGGTTAGCAATTAAGGAGGAGCAGTATGATCCAGGTTATGAAGACGCTTATGGTGGAGCGTATGTGGAGAAAGGGCCTGAAGACCTCCAGACTAAAAGTCAGATTAATGGTCACTGTACATTCCCATCTGCTGCAAACTCAGGTAAGCAAAAACAAATGGACTAACCTCAGGCTGTTGTGCATTCATGCCTAGGGCTGCGCAGTATATGCGGTAGACAGTAGAAACGGTATGAAGTTGGCCTACGGTAGAAATTTACCCTCTACCGTCATATCGTCATTACGTCATCGCACCTGTGTCTACATGGCTGTGAGTGCAGAGACAACTGAGCAGGAGGAGTTCTAAATATAATGAAGAAATTATAGTGTTTTAAAACGCGTATAGAGTGAAAAAATCCTCAGTTTCCCCCCTGCCGCTGTAGAAAAGTTATGTCGTGTCGCGGGATACGGGATCATTTCCTCCCTCCCTCTCGCTACACATCACGCAGAGTGAAGCTGTGGTTTTTTCACACCCAAGTTGTCGGAGAAAAAACTTGCTTTTTATGTATTGTTACCCACAGAGGTGATAAAAAGATGTGGACGTTCCTTCAGTCTTAAATCCATCTTGCTAATGTAAAGTCGACTTCTGCTCTGATGATGAAGATGAGAGCGCAGGAGAGCAGCAGCGAGTCAGTTCAGCAGGCAGAAGCTCATGTATGGCAGGACAATATTACATTTATTTGGCTTCACCACACTTACATTCCAGTTATCTGAAATTGTTTTAGGACTAGGACTATGTGCCCACTTGAGCCCCTTACGGTACACTATAACATTTTAGGGAACATTGAATTTTTTATGTCTAAATGACTAATTTTAATTGAAGTACTGATTGTAACATCCACTTTATTTTGATGTTGTTTAAAATTTGAGAAATCTTTTTGTTTGTTGTTGAAACCGTTTTGCAATATATACAAAACATTCTTTTGTACGTCTGTTATGGTCATTTGCACTACAGCAAAAATACTGGCTTTGATTATGATTACAGTTTTCTGCAAAATAAATACTCTAAAAATTACATTATCTTTACTTTTTATGATAATTTTCTACCGCGACATATACCGTTACCGTGAAGGGATCCAATTTATACCAAGATATGAATTTGAGGTCATACCGCCCAGCCCTAATTCACACTTATTTTAAAAATTTTAAAAATGTGTTTTTCACTGAATTAACACGTGTGTGTGTGTGTGTGTGCGTATATATATATAGAATACTGAAAACACAAAACATTTAATTAAACTGCACTGAACTATATTGTTACAAATGGATACCTCACCAGTGAAATAGAACACTTTTTGCTTTTTTTTATTGTTGCTGAAATAAATTATATATATATATATACACACACACACTCACCGGCCACTTTATTAGGTACACCTGTCCAACTGCTCCTATATGTGTGTGTGTGT